TAAAAAAACTTTATGTAATAATTTCATTTTAGATAAAGATTGTAAGGTCATTAATAACCTTTATATTTTTAAGACGTCGAGTGAAGAAAGTTAACGGAGTTACATTTAACCTATAATAAATAGATTGCTTATTTATAATAACGACAAAGATATTTATTTAATGATGAATTAGCATAAAACTTTTAGAGTATTTTACTAATCTGAAATATCTCATATTCATCTACCGAAAAAAATGATATATTATCTTTACCAAATGTAGATGTATCTCTAATTCGTTCATACGAATCTTGATAACACCAACATTTACGATCTTGATTAAATTTATTCGACATAGCTAAATCCCAACCACTACCAAAAACCGGACCATTACCCAAATAACAAAGAATTGCATTTTCTGTTTTTTTTACACGACTTAAAACAGAATTTTGAATAGTACCATTTTTCAATGAAAAAATAAAACTATTATAGCATTTCTTAAAGAAATAATTACTTTCAGGTTCGTCCCATCCAATAGGATTATACCCACCAAGAATTTCATCAGTACCTTTAACCTTTATAACTACAACAAGATGTGTTTTCTGATTACATAAATTCCAAAATGAGTCAGTAGTAAAGCCATCTCTAGTTCCACGAAGAAGTAATTTAAAGTCGTACGGGTTATCAGTTACGGAATACGGAATGGCTTTTGAATCAACCCATGAAGCAATTTCAGCTGCATGTATTTCACTAATAACTGCTGAAAATGATTCGGTATTTCTTGTTGGTAATGTTGGAGTTAAAATTACACGAGGTGGAAGAACATTTGATAATACTGATTGATTTGTCAAAAACTTCTTTAATATATCATCCCAAAGGGGTTTTCCAAGAATTTGTTGGTATGGTCGTACATTATTAAAAATATCATCACCAGACATATGAAAATAACGGATAAGAGGTAAACAATTTTGTAATGTGGTCTTTAAAGTTAGAAAATTTTCATCAGTCCAATTTTCAGGATTGAACGGTAGACCAGGATTTTTAGCAATTCCCCATTCAATAACACGGTTCCAAATTTTTACTTCTTCCATTTGTAAATCATCTTGACTAATAAGTGAAACTAATACATTTTCTTTCAGTGAGAGAAAGTCTTCTGAATCAAAAATTTTATTAGGATACTTTACTACAATATCATTGCACCATTTTTGTAATTCTTGAAGCTTATCATTCTGAAAACTTTTTAGATAAATATAAGTAAAATGTAAACGAAGCCAATGAGCTTCTGTCTCAATTAAATGGGTTTCAATATATTTGGCCAATTCTTCAAGAAGAAACTCGCAAGCAATAAGCATGAGCTCAAAGATAAATGACGCATTATGATTTTCAAGTAAGACCACACCTCCATAAATATATCTTTATATAAAGTTAAGTAAAATTTAGATTTTTTGTCTCTCAACATAATATATATTATAAATAAAAAAACTTACTTGATAATAATTTCAAATTGTTGACTAGAAATATTTTTTAAATCAAGTGTTTTAATATTATTCTCATCTTTACTAATATTTGCCAATTCATTGCGAAAATATAAGGATCTGTATCGTAAAATTGTAGAATGTGCTTGGAATATTTTGACGTTTGGAGATTCACCAACTCTGATAACTGTATTAAAATCCTCTTTATCATCGAGAAGTTCAAGATAATTGTTTGAAAGTTTTTCAAAAAATTTCACAGCCATTTTTAAATTCCTAATTACGTTGGTTCGTTAAAGGTTTTTTTTTAAATATCTGCAAGTACGGATATTTAAAGAACGTTGCCTGCACAATTACATATCGATATTGGCTAACTTCTTTTTAAAGCAATGATTCGCTTTGAGATTGTGAAGAAAATCCAAAAATGCACGGAATTTTATAAAGTTGTTTAAGATCAATAGAATTCTTGCGCTTTGCACTGGTGAGTATTATGAAATCTTGAGTTTGTGAGTTTGATAAATGTAATGTTAAATGCATATCGTATATATAATATCACATAGCATTGACAATTTTTGTCTTAAATAAATACCGATTTTGAATTAAATCAAGAGAAAAAAGTACATATATAATCAAATTTGGAAGAAGAGTTGTCAACAGAAAAAAATTTGAGATACGAATCCTATAAATATTTCAGGGCGAATATATGAGTCTCTGTATCACCAAGAAACATAGAATGCAACGATATTTGATGGTCTATTTGATTTTTATGCATAATCAAACCAAGAAAAAAGTAAACAAAATAATTTTTTTCGTTTTATTTGGTTTTAGTATTTGCAATCTATGAAAATAAATATAACCACACGGAAAATAAGAACCTAATCGAGTTAGGTACCGGAGGCAATCATTTCACCGACAGATTAGTTCGTCGAAACCAATTCACTGACAAGTTCATTTCGCTGACAGTTTATTTCACCGACAACTCATTTCGCAGACAAAGTAATTCTGATCATTGTCGTTAGGGTAAGGCTATAATTAGAGTTAAGGTTAGTGTAATTTATAAAAAATAACTTGGTGAAATGATACGTATCCATTAAAAATAAAAACGAAAAAGACCAGTAGTAGAGGTTTTTTTTTTTTTGGATGTTTTTCAGGTGAAAAAGTATTATTGTACACAACAAAATCTTTTCTCTACAGTTAAACCTTTCTAAAATTTTGTATGATAATATTCCAAACGAGTCATTTATATTTTTAATACAACGATTCTAATCTAGTGAAATCCCTACTCAGAAGCGATTCTGACAATACATGTAATACGATGTTATTAAATTTTTAGTTTTTAATTAATAACGATTATTTATATTTTTGATTAAAAGGTTTGAAATTCACATGAGCAAGTCTATACTTGTCGGTCAAATCCCAAACTATTATAGTTTGGGTTTGTCCGCACCCAAATCCCAAACCCAAGTCCAAACTAATATCTCAAAAACTTTATTAATAATCTTTATTCAAACAAATGATTTATATTCTCATAGCTATAATATATTTACAAAATATCAAAATTATTTTGTTGTTTTAATTTTTTAGGATTTGTCTGGGTTTTGCCAGCAAGTATGGCGATGTCACGACAACCACATAACAAATCTGGCCCAAACTTGGTTTATCTTTATTCTACAGACATATAAACTTAAATAAAACAATTTCAGTTGGATTTGGTTATGCGGTCGTTACGATATCGCTAGTGCTATTTTTGCTATTGCTAGAATCCGGTGATCTGTGTTAAATTTCATTGGTAAAAATAAATTAGAATGTAACGGGATTAGAGAGAAGAAATACTCTACACCAAAATCTTGCAAGGAACCCTTTTAATTAAGACGCAGAAGGTATTTTATAGGCAAAATGTTGAGTTACAGACGTTTATTTTGGACAGACTCGGCATTTCGTATTCACGTTGCACCCGATCCTGTGTTGTGATTGATTTAAAATCACGGGAATGCTGTTTTTAATGCTGTAATGTGTGGCTACGTATGTTTGTTACATAACCGCGACGTCATGAAGAAAAATAGACTTAGTAAATAGTGGGTTAATTGATGTGAATGGTACCAAGAAAAAATGTGACTTCTAGCTTTCTGGTTTATTATTTATTATTTACCTCTGATTGGCGACACATATTTTATGTAATTAAATTAATTCTGCCAAGACATCGGGCTTTTAAATATATATGTAATCGATCGGATTTTTCAAGGGCTGAACCTGGTAAATAATAAACTTGAAAGCCGGATGTTTCATTTTTCCTTAGGAGGGAATTTACGCGTTGCACGAATGAAACTCGGACAATATTTAAGTGAGAGCCTAGCAACTATGTCTTGGAGCTAAAATAATACAGAATCGTCATAATACAATAATTATTGTGTTCATGTGGTATTCTATTATTACCAATTTAACCATAGCGTTTACAAATCAAATTTTGGTTTCGGTTTTAATCTGCAACAATAAGTATGGAATATACAAAATTCACTCAACTAATGCCGATATGTCCTAAAGATTGAAATATGTATTCAGCTAGACTCTTTGCAATAATTTAATAATTAAATAATTACATCTCTGGAATTGGACTACGTATGAAAGGGTTTCATTTCACCGACAATATTTCCAAATCCCAGCGGATATATCAGTTCAGGCACTTGAGATAGTAATGATAGTAGTTCAAATGCGGTGTTACATTAATAATAAATTACTTATTCAAAAATGTCTTTTTCCCTAAGAATGAATAAATGAATAAATAAAATAAACGTATAATTCGACAGTAAAACCGTGAATCAGAAATACGACAGATAAAATGTTACCAAAAATTTTTTGAAGGATAAAGCCTAAGACCTGAAAATTTGGTTAATAAAAAAATGGGTATAATAATTAACATATTTACCCTTTTTAGTATGCTTTTAACTTGAGGTTTGAAACATGAAGACTTAGTTACATTAAATAATTTTTTCTTTTTAAAAAAGGAGCCTCTAATCTTTATTATTGAAAATTATTTAATAAAGGAATAGAAAGACAACTAAATTATAAGTCATCAAAAAAAAAAAAAAAACCAATATATTATTTGACAACTCAAAAAATTATTTAAGATATTTCTAAAAATCTAATTTCACTTTTTGAAAAATAGGCAAACAATGATAACTTTATAAACGAAGTATGTTAAAAAGTTCTGAAGTGTCTAATGATAATAAATCGTTATAATATTTATAAGATTACAAATATGCAAATATAGTTTTACAAATAATCTTACATACTATAGAATTATAAAGAAATTAACAGATTAAATTTCTACTTCTTATCGTCATATTCTATTCCTAGAATTTACTTATTTCAATTTGAATGTTCTTTTTTTTTTTGAGAGATATGGTTAATTTCCGGTACATTAACGATCATTATAAATGAGTCACAGTGAACTTACCATTTGAATCAGTTAGTATTTAGATTGGTTTGATCGGTAGTTTCATTGTCAACTTATCAAAATAATATGATCATTTTAAACAAAAAATTATAAATTTATCAAGAAAATATTGTTAATAGAATATCATGTTTAAATAAATCAATTCCAAAGAAAGTAAAATTCTTACCGGTGTCAGGTAAAACTAGAAATTCTTGCTGTGAATCTAAATAGGTGCATAAAATCATTAGTTCAACCTGATTCTCATATTACGACAATTTATAAAAACATACCTGTTGTCGATAGATGCGGCTTTTCACTTTTTTTTTTATTACCTGTAACTATTAGAAGCATCATATAAAAATTAACCAAAAAAAAACCAATAGCCGATATAAGAAAAAAAAAAAATCAAAAAAAAGCTACAAATTACAATCATTAACATTCTTTGGTGTTGGCTTTGGAAGAGTAATTTTGCCAGAAAGAACATCATCTACTGTAACAGGTCTATTAATGACAAGCTCTTCGTTACTACTCTTTTGCTCTTCGCTATTAACAACATCATTAAACCCTGAATTTATTTGTTCCTTTTCAGAAGATTCTAATTGTTGTGGATTACTTTGCGGTAAATCATTCTTAGAAGTTTGTTCTGTCTCTTTTTCATCGGGATTCATTCTTAAGAATTGATTTTAAAATTTTAATTCCAAAAGAACATAACGAAAAACAAAAAATTTAATTAAAATTCAAATTTATTGATTCGTAAATGTGAGTATTTTGTACGTAAAGTTTCACGAACCGTCTTTTAATACAACAACAAAACATTTAACCAATATAATGGGAGAAATCAAAAACACATAATTTACAATTAGAATATATCGATATAAGCAAATCCTCTTAACTAAATTTAGTACAATCATACAGCTAAGGGCGCGAAAAAGCCACAAATAACAAATAATTATGGTTTGCCACATCTTTGTCTTCCTAAATTGGGTTATTATCGTATTACAATACCACGGAAATAATTAATTTGAAACTATCAGGTATGTAAATAGTATATTTCAATACATCAAATTAAACCATTTAAAGTAAAAAATTAAAGCCTCGGAATTATGTATATAAGCTTTTTATGTAAATTATACTATATAATCGTGGCTCAAACTTTAACATTAACAGTAAGCAACAAAGAACTTATGCGTAAAACATGTTTAAATATAAATTTCATAATAATCAACCAAATTACGATCACTTTTTCATCAAAGAAATTATAAAGAACGTATTGGTTCATTATATTATTCTATTGATAAAAGTAGCTCTTTATTTATTCCTAATTACACAAAGATGTCTTCGAAGAATTCATATTAAAAGCTTTATTCCCAATTTTAAAGTTACAATGTACGTAGGTACGAGTAACATTGAAAATTATGAATATTTTTGTGATAGTGTCACGGGTAATCTGACATTAAAAAATAACTGTGCCTTAAAATTACGTGACCGAAGATCATGACGCTATGATCGAGGCTGTGAATTTTCATTCATTGTAATGTATGCTTAACGTTAATGGCGTGATTATTAGATAAATATGAGTTAGTGAAGTAAGTTACAGTGTAAAAAGGCTTAGTATAGCTGCAGGTACTTATGGCTCTGTAACTTGGATAAGTAATTGTCCGAAGCGTAGCGGAGGACGTATGATAGGATTTACTTATTTCTGCAAGTGATACAAATCACGTGCCAATAGTAAATACGTATTTAGGGAATTGCTACAGACACAGCCTTAGCGATACAACATGGCCAACATTATCGTTAAGTTTAGTGTTAGAATATGGTAGAATTAAGAAATTAGATCATGTGTTGCTGTGTCTGTAATATTTGTTTGTTGTTATTTTTGCTAAAAGCACGTGAAATTTAACTAGCTTATGATTAGGGTTAGGGGATGATAAACATTGAATAGTAAAATTCGGCCAGGAATTTTTTTTTATTGGAATGTAAAAGGTGATTTCTTAGCCGAAATTTTAAATTACCAGGAATACTTTGAAAAAACTTCGATTTCACGTTGCACAAAAATTGCACCTGATCTTGCGATCTACATAAAAAAAAATTTCCGTTTTTGGGTTCGTATCACTTGCAGATCAGATGATCTTGTCCGCATCTATTTTTAGATTGATGATCATCACTTTATGTCCTTATTTTTAGTTAATAAATTGTTAGCTTTGGACATTTAACAGTTTCTGCTTTCCTTGTAATCATTTCCTGGGCACTTGGATATAAGCGAATTTTGCAGTAAAGTATAATCGGCCGAGTATTGACTGATTATACTTTACTGCAAAATTTCAACTACACAGGATATAACTGATTTATCTACTTTCATGTACTTATTTTAGAGCGAAACCTGGTTTTTACGCTTGGTTTTTGATATTAAAATCTTTCGAAAAATAAATTTTTTATATATGATATGATCAAACCCGCCCCCTCATACCCAAATATTTTCAGTTTGAATCATTTTATTCAAAGATAATTCGGGTATTACATAAAAAAATTTTTAATGAAATTTATTGATATAATCGTAAATTTTAATTCGAGATCAGAAGTAATGCAGTTAGAGATGGTAAAAAAAATACGCTTTTAAACAGTTTTTTAAACATTTTTTATTGGTTTAACCCTTTTTTTAACACAAAAAATATTGCTTCCGATTAATTAATTTTAGTTGTCAGCTGAGAATTTTTTTTAAAAAAGGCGGTGTATATATTTATAATTCAAACTTACATGAAAAAAAATATTATTAAAATTTATAAGTTTTTTTTTATTTTATTAAATATATAATTTGCCTATCGCCAAATACATTCTTTAGATTGGCAGTGTTACGTTTGTTAATATTGAAGACCAAGGTTTACAATAATATTATTACTATTTAATATTGAATAAGTTTTTGCGTATGAATTATTTGAAGATTAGGTAGAAACAGAATCCTGAACTTTTCATAAACTTTTTATATTTCTTGAAAGTTTTTTACATTTTAATAAATCAACACAGACTTCTTTGCAATAATTACATTTTTTGGGGCAGGTGTTTTTCGACCATGTTTATCAGGTTCATCAACTTTTGTAAAGTTTAAACAACTTTCTTTTAAAGGGGTCTTCTACAAGATGAAACATTGAAGAAGTTTTTTATTTGATTTTTTTTTGAATGTTAGCAATCATAAATATTATATACTTATAATTTACGCAATCGAATCATAATTACGTCATAATCAGTGTTGAGCAAGTATAATTCGACCAATCAGACCAATTGCTAGACCATTTGACCAATTTGACCAGACTAGTTTGACCAAAAACCTTTTGACCAATGACTAGCAAATTTATAGTCGACCACTAATTTGACCAACACTGGTCATAATGTATTAAAACATTTTTAACAGATTTAAATAAGCATAATTTTTAAGATCATGTTTTGAAACATTTTCCATCTCTAAATGCAGTGCAATTAACTTGAAACAAATTGCTCAAAAGTTAAAAAATTTTATACTGAAGATTTAAAATTTTCAGCTACAGTCATTTCTAGTTTTAGTTACAATATTAATTATTAAATTTTCTAAAGTATTTGATATAATTTTATTGACAAAATTATTTAAAATATTATATTTAAGACAAATATATAATGACTTATATTATTACATTCTAACAAAGTCTAATACAAATTAACTTCTCTTTTCTTTCCCTATTTCAGAGTAGAGCGAGTAATGCTTAACTTTATTAACCAATTAAATTGATTTATTTGTTTCCAAGTTTTTTCTAAGTGCAAGATTTTTTTTTAACATAACTTATATGTAGAGAGAATTAATTATATATTGATTTGATTGTTCTTTAATTACAAATTCTTTCTAAACGCAAGATTAATTTTGAAATGTACCTATAGTGTTCAATATATATATGTTGTAAGTGGAAACGGAATTAAGTGGATTCGGAAGTTTTATATAGAACCAGCATTTCGGAGTTGATTTGATCATATAAACACCGATACCCCACACCTAATTCAACTACTTATAATCCGTTTTCACTTACAACATATATATTTTTTTATTATACTAGTTATAAACCCGTGCTTTGCTACGGGTTCTATAAAAATTTTAAAAATTTTATTAAAATTTGAACTCTACAAATTTTTAATTAGAGATAAACGATTTCCAAAGGTAAGCCAAACTTTATTAATAGACTAAAGTAATACGTATAAATGCAATAATTTTAGATATTTTTATAAAAGCATAATGTTCTTTAGCGTAGCAAGCAGAATATTAAAGGGAAATAAAAAATTAATGTGTAGAACCTTTATAAGTGCATGCATCTGGAACCAAAGTTTAACTGCATGCACTCAGAAAATTCTAAGAAAAGGTGATCTTATAAAAGTCAAATATATTTGGGCCCCAATTTGCGTGTGTAGCTAGAAAGAGTGTGCCTTTATAGAAGATGCATTTAGGAAGTTTCGCTGTAGCATATAAAAGAATATTACATACTTTTCGAGTAAGCATGGTTGAAGAAGAGCTCTCTAATTATCAACATGTATAATGATCGCAATTAGACAAATTATAGGCATACATCTATGAGCGCATGCACTTGAAACTATACTTTGCTGTGTATACTTAGAGAACCATAAGAAAAAGTGCACTTATGGAGGTCACGTATATATCTTGGACGAATGTTTGTTGGCAATTATAGTGTACATTAAAAGAGGGTGTTCACTTAAGCAGGAGATTTCACCATAGTTCAAATGTCAGCTCAACAGGCAAATTTTGGAACTGAAATAAATAATTTAAACTACATTTCAAATAGATTGAATTTTTGATAAAGTTTTCTTATAAGTCGTATTAAAAATAGGATCTAAAAGAACGGATTTTTACTAAATATGATACTAAATTTTATCAGCATTATGTTTAATTAAATTCTTTACGTTAATATTATAAAAACGCAACGTTACATAGCATAAGTAGTTCATTATGAATTCTTAACGAAGTCTATTCCAAGTAAATTAATGTATATCTAAATGTGTATCAGTTTTATGCCTCAGCAGAAATTCTTCAAAGTTAGATATTTTTAGGGTTAGTGTTTTGAATACGGTTAGAGGTGGGCCAGTTACATAATAAAATCGCTCAAGAAAAACTTTCGATTAGAGCATTAAAGCTGTTTTCTTATACAGATTTTCGAGAAATAAGCGTTTTTTATCAAAACGAATGATTTGAATTTCCCTGATCATATTCGTTATGCTTAATTTTTAAATCTGAATCGTAGTTAGGTAACAGGCACCATTGTTGCATCACAGGTCTGACACACATTTTAGATATGCTAAAATAACATATATACGTACTTACCTTATTAGTCACTTTAATTAATTTTGTAGAGATACACAATATTTAAGGTCATCTGAATTATTGGAAATAGAATTTTGATTAAACAGGATGAAGTACAATGTGACAAAGCTGTCCATGTTTAAAAACTGCAGCCCTAAGATTAAGTCCAACATGCTTTATTGATTGTTTCCGCGATTTATTTATAGCAATAGTAATTTGTTTGCTTTTAAACTTAAATGGTAATTTAGTTAACGATACTATTAAAATAATATGAGGAATAAAAACCAGTTTAGCATAGTTTTTGTTAAGTAGATATATTTAAATAAGATGATTAGAAAA